CCATGATCTTTATTATGGGTTTAGACTCTCATGAAAGCTCATGAGCAGGATCATGAATGTGTTTTATGATCAGTTTTTGTAACTGACAACTTTAGGCCAATTAAACAGAAATATGTTTTTTTCTTGATGTTTACATTAGATCATCCCTTTGAAATTGAATTAAAAAGAAATATCAAGTGTTAAAATAATCTTTTAAAAAAAACTAAATTAGATGGAATTTATGAAATTGAATCCCACAAAAAAGGAAATTATGAAATCTTCCGGATCTTTACCACCACCAAAATAAAAGGAAACTCGGTTTCTTTCCTTAATTTAATCGACTAAAGTGTGCACTTCTTTCAAGTTCCCGCATCGTTTGCCTTGGATATATGGAGGTTTCGAACATGTTGTTTTCTCCAATGGAGTCTTCTGTTTACTAGCCAGAAGAGGTTGGTTAGGGATGTTTGATCTGTCTACGAATTCTTGGGATCTTATTCGTCCGCGGCCTCCTAAATTTCCTGGAAAATACTATCGGTTTATGACTGAGTATCATGGCGATATCTTCCTTATATACACAGACATGAATGAACTCAAACAACCGAGATATCTTAAACTAAATCTTACAGACCGGAAGTGGGAGGATGAGAAAATGTCGGGAGGTTTGACATTTTACTTAAGCTTCGTGTCTACTTTGACTATGAAGAGGGACTTAGTGCATACCCACAAAGTGCATCAAAGTCCCGGGTATAATATCTGGATAAAACCACCCATAAATGTCTCATATTTGTTCGCATCTTAGAGAATTTCATAATTCGTATTTACTTTGTTTCTACTTTTCTTGGATATTTGTACAATGTGTTTGGTTTCAACCTCTTTGTTTTATTTATTGACAACCTATTTACTTAGAGCATCTCCATCAGCATTGGGGTTCATAACAATACTTTAATAGTTTTTTTTTTATTATTGAATAGTTAAAAGCTCTAAGATTTTTTGTTCCTCCAATGGTAAACTCCATTAAAGGTTCTTAAGAAAAAAAATATTTTTATATATCATGTATTTGATTTCAAATTTAAATTGTTAATAATTTAAACATACTATATTTGATAAAACCAATATTGATGTGTTTCACCGATTTGAATTCTTAATTTGATAGAACCTATATTTGATAAACATACTATATTAGATTCTTAATGACCGCATGTTGAAACTATGTTTCACCCATTTGGTTTCATTCTAAATATGCCAATAAGGCCAACTTAAATAATGAGTAACTAAATTTATTGATGTGTTTACTCAAATGAAGAGACCTTACAGAAGAGTTTCTTTTCAAAGCTACATATACTCAGTTACCAAACCTGATATTATAGTTTTTAAGATATCCATATAATATATATGTTATAATCATGATATTGTTAGACTAACACTCAAAATCTTAGGAACTTCATAGTTCATAGTTCATAGCTCTTTATAGATCTGATCGCTTCACATTTGGTTAAATAACTCACCTAGCTACCTTTTTGGCTTTCATTTTGAAATCAGAGGATCAGTCATTCAAGTTGAATGAGCAATTGACACTTTGATAATGAGTACTGACACTTCTTGATTTATTTACTCAACTCAAGAGAAAAAACACAAAGACCTTCAAACATGAATCATAAATGCAACTCCATTACCAGTATTTTTGAGCCAATATCATTAACCAAACCTACTCAGATTTTTTACAGGTTCGAAACAATCGGTATAATAAAACCTAGATCCTCTGCTTTTCTCATTCCTCTGTTTCTACTTTCTTGTGATGCTCTTCTTTGTGACACACACAAACAAAAAAAGGAACCCTGTTTTGCTTGAGGGGGTAGGGTAATTTTAATTTCTCTGCATCAAAAGCAACATGATTGGAAATTGATTTGATCGGATTTGGGATATTTTGTGGGGTTATATATTGTCGGTTGAAAATAACTAAAGATGGAGATGATAACCAAAAAATAAATAGAGTATATATCAAATAGTAATTTAGTTAAGGGTTTGATTTTTTTTTAAAGCTCAAACATCAAATAATAGTACAACAAGAGTTGCACTAGGATGATGAGGCGAGTTCAGAGAGTGACAGAAGCAGAGAACACAACCTTGGAACGATCCAAGAAAGGATCAACGGTCATGGCAGCATTAGACCACTCGATGTCTGTCTCTTCCAGCTCAAAAATTATTTAATAGTACAACAAGAGTTACACTACGATGATGAGGCGAGTTCAGAGAGTGACAGGGGTAGAAAACATGACCTTGGAACGATCCAAGAAAGGATCAACGGTCATGGCAGCACTAGACATTTAGACCACTCGATGTCTGTCTCTTCCAGTTTAGGACGCTAATTACCAGCCGCGTTAGCTCGAGGGAATCCCATGGAAGGGACATAGTGCCACGTGTGGATCACGTCCTGTAGAGATCAGGCGAAGCCACTAGAGAGCGATAACTCTTGGAGACAACAGACAAGGCCGCCTGGTCCAATCTTGACATTCGAGCCAGGCAGTTCAGAATCATGTCATCTGGCAACCGACAATAATGTAGACAAAAATGGAGGAGGCCGTGAGACATCTTCCTCTTTTTAGCCGCTAAATTCCCATATCAGAGGTTTGTATATTTATCTTTTGGTGGTTGCTGACTTTGAATACTTTATTCTACGGATTTTATCCAAACCCTTCTCTCTTAAATCCTGAAAAAAAAAAGGATATTGAGAAATCGTTTTCTTAACTTACACAGTAAGTTCACTATATATATATATATATGTAAAACCCTAACTCTCTCTCTCTCCAAAACCTTAATCACAGACCTAACCAGGCAGTAACTACATATTATTTAAACAACGGAGAAAAAGATTGTAATCTATAGCCATGGTTTATACAAGCTCGACGATAATGAACAAGAAGAAGAAGTGTATGGAGGCAAAGAAAAACAACTGAACTTGGTCTGACCACCTTCCCTTTGATCTCATGTTAGTGATAATGCAGCGTCTGTGTTTGAAAGGCAACATTCGTGCTTCCGCAGTTAGCAAAACATGGCAAGACGCTTGTGTTTTCGTTCGAATTAAAGATCCAACACCATGGATTATGCCCTCCTCTTCATCACACAAAGAAGAATACAAGCTTTACGATCCATCACTCTACAAAACACATATTTGTAAGTCCCCAGAGTTAGGCGGTTGGCACGTAAGTTATTCTCGAGACAGTTGGTTACTCATGTCCAATTTCGATTGGACCGAAAACTTTTTTTTCAATCCGTTACAAATGAACGCATTGGACTGCCTTGGGCGCATGATATGTGGCGTTCTCATGCAATAGCTTTCTCATGTGCTCGTACATCGAATAGCTGTGTAATATTCTCTAGCTGCGTACTCTTGGGGGGATCCGTCACTATCAAAACATATTGTCTTGATATTAAAGTGTGCACTAGTTTGTTTTTCCCACATCAGTTGTTTTTACAAGATGGAGATTTCGAACATGTTGTTTTCTCCAATAGGGTCTTCTATTGTCTCACCAACACAGGTTGCTTAGGAATGTTCAATCTCTGTACGAATTCTTGGGATGTTCTTTCTCGGCGGCCTCCTAAATCTCTTAGAACCAGAAGAAGTTTTCTGACTGCGTACCAAGGAGACATCTTTCTTATATACATCAACACGTACGAATACCTCCAAGAACCGAGATATCTTAAACTAGTTCTCACAAATCAAAATTGGACGGATGTTAAAAGGTTCAGGTTGGGTGGATTAACGTTTTACTTAAACTCAAAGTCTACATTGGCAACCTATAGGACTCGGACCACTCGGTGTATACCCAAAGAATCCATCTATGTAACAACAGCTATGATGTCTGGATAAACCCACCCCTAAACGTCTCAGATCTGTTCAAATAGTTCTTACCTCTTCTTCGTTTTTAGTTTTCTTAGATTTTGGTATAATACAACTTGTATTCGATTTTAGTATACCTCTCTCTATTAAGGTTCTTGATCAGCTGAGTAAAATATATCTAACTACTTAATAGTAGAATTTAAAATATACGCATCGTTATAAAATATAAGATTTCCTGATTAATAATCGTGATATTGTTAGACTAACACTCAAAATCTTAGAAAAGTTATAGTTCTTATTTTTATTTTATTTTATTTTTAATTCCAGATCACCCATTAACCTAGATCCTCTGATTTTTCCCATTCTTCTATTTCGTGTGAGCTTCTTCGTCGAGGGCCTCCTATATGTCTTGGAAATTATAACTATCGCTTTATGACAGAGTACCATAGCGATATTTCCTTCTGTACACGGACATGAATAAACTCGAAGAACCGAGATGTAAACTAAATCTTACAGACCGAAAGTGGGAGGATGAGAAAATGTCGGGAGGTTTGACGTTTTACTTAAGCTTCGTGTCTACTTTGACAATGAAGAGGGACTTAGTGCATACCCATAAAGTGCCACAATGTAACGGGTATACGTAATATCTGGATAAAACCACCCATAAATGTCTCATATTTGTTCAGATCTTAGAGAATTTCATAGTTTTTATTTACTTTAATTTGTTTCTACTTTTCTTGGATATATGTGGAACAGTACAATCTGTCTTGGTTTAATCTCTTTGTTTAGTGTAAACGTTTTTTGTTTAATTTTATTACTTACAAACTATCTACTTAGGTTCTTAATGACCTAAGATATAAATTCTCTTTGTTGTAAATATACACATCGTTATAAAATAAGATATGAAGTATTTGAATTTTTTTTGCTGTTGTAATCTTGAAGATATCCATATAATGTATCTATGTTCTAATCTTGATATTGTTAGCCTAACACTATAAATGAACAAGAATGAGCAGACATATATAAGAACCAATAATGCTAAATCATTCAAACGCATTGGAGGTACAAAACTTAAGTTTATAAATGAGTATGGAGGAGCACTTGTAGTGTAGCTTTGTAGGTCATGGATAAGTATTGTATAAGAAAAGAAACAGGAAGAACACACTTGAAAAATCATAGTAAGTAAAAATATATAAAATTATTGATTAAGGAGAAAATAAAAGACATTAATTGCAATATCACACTGATCATGAAGGATATATACAATGTAAAATGATACCCTTTTGTGATTGTGATGGTCAAAGCTACATCAGATCATTTGTTACTCCACTTATAAATAATTTTAAAATCTACATTTGCCAAATTCCAAGAATGTCTCCTTTTGATCCTCATTACTTTCCTCTCTTCACCCAACCATTATCCTCCTCTTAAGCTCCATCCTACAAACACAAATATACCAACAAATCATTAATACCAAAATCTAGACCAAAAACGACATTTTTCTAAACGGTGTGGACTGAACCAGAGTGTTAAATCTGTTACCTCATAAGCTGGCGGTCTAGAGCACCGGTAGACATCATACCACGGTTCTCATATGCTCGCCGGATAAGGTATGGAATCGCGGTTTCCACCGGCCCATAGGGCATGTACTTGCTGACATTGAAGCCGGCCCTTTTCAATCCGAAGGATAGCGCATCAGACATCCCGTAAAGCTGAGCAAACTCAATCTTACCGTTTTCTTTATCGATCCCTAGCTCACTTGCTTTCTTTGCCCCTAGTTTACCTATCATAAAAATCACAAACGAGGACAAAAAAAAACATATCATATATCAGTGCCTATGGATAATTTCATCCATAAAATCTAGGGATGATGAGCAAAAAATACCAAAATTATAATCTAAATGACCCAACAAAACTGAAATTCATCAATACAAACGATAGAGAAATTTTTATAACAAATAAAATTGAATACACCAAATTTAGTTTACAATCATATCTTAAAATTAGTTAATAGAAAAACTGTCTTTTAAACATACTTTAAATTTATAATTTTATGTGACATCCGAAACCAAACCAAATTTTATGAAATTTTCCACCAAATGAATTAAAAAAAAAAAGAATCAAATATCCAGACATACTAAAATAGTAAAATCAACTCATATATATTTCATTAGGGTTCATTCGGATTTTTAGTCTTCACAATTTGCAAATGTAGGGTTTTTAATTCACAAACATGGTTCGATAGCTTACCGGAATCGGTGTTATGCGTCGCTAGAATGACGGCAATGCCTGAACCATTCGAGGCTTTCTCCATAAGGAAACTCATACATTGATTGTAGCAATCGTGCGTCTCTTGAATGGTGTCATGAACCGGTGACTTGTATCCCAAGGAATCTGCTAACTTAGCTTCACTGGACATATAAGCACCTCTCACCAACTTAAACCCAATAGGAACATTCATTTTCTCGGATTCTCCTAACGCCAAATGCAATCTCTCTCCTGCATCTTTCAAATAACCTTGAATCGTATTGTAAACAATCGGTCGATCTTTGTCGGAATTGAACATAATCGCCGACCAATACGCCATGTAATCGATTGCCGGTTGGAGAATCGTGTCTTCTGCATCGATTAGTAACGGTACGTTTGATTCTTGGCATCGGAGACAGATGGATTTCATGCGTTCGTGAGCTTTTTCGAGCTCTTGTTCTTCCTCTACGGTTAATGGCTCCGGTTCGACGGCTGTGTGGTAGAGAGGACTTAAACCGGAAAAAACCGGAAACGAATTGAGTTTCCATGGAAGTTTGAAATTTGGGTTCTTGTATTGCCACCGAAGCAAATCACTTACTCGTTTTAGGACACTCATTGGACAAATCGCTGTGATTTTCACAACCACTGAGCTTAGCTGTATTGCAAAGACCAAAAAAACACTAGATTAATTAGTTAACCGAAATAAACCGGGATTACTGTAAATGGAAGAAATATTCCACGAGTGTAGTTGACATTTCAGATTTCCAAATATGTCCTCATTGCCGACTTTGCGTGGTTAACGTGTTAATTTAAGCCTGACGAGGATCTGACGTGACTTTGATTATTCTATCTATAATCACTACAATTTAGAAAAGTTGATTTTTTTTTTGATATTTAAGGTTTTGTCTTTTTTTTTTGTGACAGCAACGTTTTGGTCTCCTTTGTAACGTACAATTTAGACAAGTTGGTGTTCTATATTACTCACGTTTTTTGTACATTTCCATATGACTACATGTATAGGATTTGGTTGTAGATCCAACTTGCAGATATTTGATTATCATATAGGTAATTCACTGATGTATTTGATCTCTAAAACAATTGTTATATCGAATAGTTAAACTATTCATTTGAAACAAAATTTTAGGGGCTGGTAGCAAAATGTGTTTTTGGGTTACTATGGTAGCAAAACATTTCCAGTAAAAAACGTATATGAAAGATTGTTTGAAAACAAAAATTGAGTAGTGAATAGAAAATAAAATGAAACTTTGAGACTTATGAAAAGTAAAATGAAATCTGAGATTAACTTACTTGAGACGAAGGTAGGGTTTTAGCAGCTTCAACAGTTTCTATGAATTTCTCGATGTTGTTATCACACGCGCCACCGTCTTCGGCATGTTCAACACCATAAACCAACATCCCTTTAAGTCCAGTAGATTCATACACGCTCCTCACGCGCCTAGCGGCAGCAGCGGCGTCTTCACCGGCACAGAAATGGTCATAAAACGTTCCTTTCACGAAACGAAGGACTAAATCGCGTGTTACGGTCGCGTCCATGAGCTTGGAGCTCATGAGCCATGAGCCAAGATCGACCATAGGGCCTATAGCGGTAGCGTGAAGAATAGCCGTTGAACGGACAAGGTCAGAGATTGGGACAGAAGCAAAGAGTCGAGCTTGGTCAGAGAGATCAAGGTCAACGTCTGGTTTTGGTTGGTCAAAGGAAAGAATCCCCGGGACAACGGTGGCAGGAGGACCGACGGGGTTCACGGTGGAGAAACGGTGGATGAGGTTTGGTCGGAGGAAACGGTTTGCCATTCAAACAATTAAGAGAGTTTTTGGTTTCTGTTTTTCTTCACAAGCGTTTTTGTGTGTGTTGGGGTTTGTGTGTATGTTATTGCTTCATGTTGTATTTATACACACGGATTTGTGTCTACTCTATATGGTAATATAAGGTTTTTTTCCCTTAAATTAGGATGATATAATTTTTTTGTCCTCAAATTAGGATGGAATCAGGAAAATAATAAGCAAAAATTAAGAGAGAATCTTTTCAAAAAGTGAGATTTGACTAAATTTTGGTTTGGCTGAAGTTATTGAATTTTAAAAGTTTGACGGATAAGCCATTTCACCTTTTTCATTTACTCATTCATTATTTCATTTGGATTTTATATATTTAAGGGAAATAATTAACTTAAAATCTTTGATAGACAAAATTTATGTTTTTAGAGCTTATCTTCATATTGCAATTTGCATAGCAAAAACTACGTGGCTTTTTGTGCTGTTGACGTCAAAATTACGTGGTTTTCTATTTTAAATTGCAATTTATGGTATCATTTAATATGAAAATCTTATTAATAGGAAAATTTTGATAACCTATAATTCTTGATCGTAGATTCCGCATTTGTTTGATCAAAGAAACCTATGAAGTTAATGCAATTAAATAAGATTTGGATTGATACATCTCAAGAGTTACAAAACTTGAGAAATAAATTTATATCTTTGCAGCTAAAGACTTATTGAAGAAATGGAATCAAACTAGAAGCCATGCTATTTTTGGTGATTTTAATAAATTAATTTAAAGTGTATAGAAGAATTTCGGCGTAATTTTATGACATTAACATATTTAAAAAAATCGAAAAATATATATATTAATATATTAAGAAAGTCGAGTCATGGACACGAAGGACGTGACCATAGACGATGTGATTGGATATCATTTTAAACGTGAGGTGAAGTTTTTTTTTTTGTGTTTTTTTTTTTTTAACTCAAGTTATCTTTATTCACCTTTTTTCCTCTTCCCCACAGAGACATGTTTTGAAATTACATTCAAATAAGCGCGGTCGGTGGATAAAAATAATAATAATTGAATTGTAAGATTTCTCTTCGCGGTCGGTGGATGGTGAATCGGATTCAACATTATGACCTGAACTAATGAATCTTTGACTTTACTCTATTAGAATCTTCTGATGAATCTAAAAATATTCACCCCCTTAAAAATGCAAATACTATATTAGTCGCAATAAAAGAAAACTGAATAGTTTTGCTTTAGCACGTTTGAATTTGTTGCTGCATAAAATCGAGTTTTATCATCAATGTTTATTCTTTTTTTTTCTTCTTTTTTTTTGTAAACTTAAGCGTTTATTTTTCTTCATTTCGTTTCTGTTTCGTTTCTTTCTTATGAAACTGAAATGCTTATTAGTGTTTTACAACTGGACGTTACCAATACAGAAAAGTAAATAGCCGGAAAAGTCATCTATAACTTTTCTTAAATAAGATTAATTCATTTAACAAAAAGGGAAAGATTAATTCAACAGTGCAACAAAAAATTAATAATTCTAGGAAAATATTCAAATAATTAATCGTCATCAATGGACACATTTCATAATTTTTAACCTTAATATATATATATATACACATATATATGTTACTATTTTTTCAATAATCACAATGCATCTATTAGACATATATTATATATCATATGGGACAAATGTCATCAGATTATCTTGAAAATATATATATGGTTAGAAAAATATATGAAATCTAAAGATATTAAAAGAAATAAATAAATAAAGATTAAGGCAGCAGTGTCAAAAACATATATAGTCCAATAATATTGTTACACAATTTGTTTTATTAGCTATCATATATATATATATATAATCTAATAATCCTCCAACGAATTAACATAAATTGTTTTGAAATGTATATAATGCATATGTGTTGGATTTAGCCGCATTGTGGATTATCTCGCTTGTTCGAGTACCAGTTCAATGTAAGTTGACATAATGCCATTTCCGTAAGCAATTAGATTTTTCTAATATTTTTTCCAAACACACTTTTGCTTATTTTGTTTTATTTATACCACTGTGTTTCACTATAAAATAGGGGGAAAAAAATCATTTGAGTGACACAAATTAGGGATATATCATCTGTTACCCAAAAATTAGGAGAATAACAAAGGACAAAGACGATATTTTTTTAAAAAAAAGTCCCTATCTTACTTATTAAACTTTACCTGTGGATATCTCTCTCGTCGTATGCTCATGGTGAAACAGATCTTTCTTATGTGGTTGTTTTAATAACATTTTTTGTACATTATCTATACACAGACATGAGTGTTGGTTGATTTTTTTAAGAGTGTCTCTTTAGTTGGGTAAACAGATCAATGTTGTTGGTCTTATAGTGACCAATTGCTATATTCGTTCCACTAATTTGAATGTATGATATTTTGATTTCGAAATAAAAACGGTAGCTATATATATTAGTTAATCATCATCATTAATCTGTAGACATATAGGTAAAACCAAAGACAAATTGTATTATATATACAAAGTAATAAGAACTATGAATCCCTATGATTTGAACAAATCTGAGACGTTTAAGGGCGGTTCTACCCAGACATTACATAAATTAGAACGTTGATGCATTTTCTGAGTATACAATAAGTCCCTATTCCATTTCAAAGCAGATATGGAGCTCAAGTAAAACGCCAAACCTCCCAACTTTATCTTAGAGTGAACTTCCTTAAATTTGTCGGATTTAAAAAAGGAAAGTAAAGGAGTTTCATTTTTTGTTTTTTTTTTTGCTGAGGCCAAAAAGACTTTTCAATTTCCTTTTTCCGGGATTTAAGAGAAAAGGGCTTAGATAAAATTCTGTCAATTTCCAATTATGTTGCTTTTGATGCAGAGAAATTAAATTAACCTACTTCCTCAAGCAAAAAATGGTTCCTTTGTGTGTCACAAAGAAGAGCATCACAAGAAACAGAGGAATGGGAAAAGTAGAGGATCTAGGTTAATGATTGATGATTAATAGGATCTTGGTAATAAAAACAATTCCGGATCTTATGATTAATGGGTTCTAGGTAAATGGTTGATGTGAAATGAAAAACAATAGAGAATAAATATAAGAACTATGAATTTCTTAAGATTCTGAGTGTTAATCTAACAATATCACGATTATAATTAATCTATAAAAGTTATTTAGCCAAATTGTGAGGGATCATCACCAAGAACTTAAATAAATAGGTAAGGAAAAGAAAGACAAATTATATAGTATTATATATAACAAGAATCCAAGAACACAAAAAACGAATAAGAAATGATTAAGAACTATGAATTTCCTGAAATTTGAACAAATCTGAGGCGTTTAGGGGCGGTTTGGCCCAGACATTATACCCTGTAGAACGTTGAGGCGTGTGCACTAAGTCTCTATTCGTTGTCAAAGTAGACGTGGTGCTTAAGTAAAATGTCAAACCTCCCAAACTTATCTTATCCGTCCATCTCCCGTTTGCAAGATCTATTTTAAGAAATCTCGGTTGAAGGTAATGGGTGTTCGTGTATATGAGGAAGATCTCTCCTTTGTACTCTGTCATGAAGCGCTTGTTGGGTCTAACACATTTAGGAGGACGTTGAGAAAGAACATTCCAAGAATTTGTAGATAGATCAAACATCCCTAACGAACCTGTTTCGGTGAGACAGTAAAAGATACCATTGGAGAAAACAACATGTTCGATTAATAAGCCTCCTTCTTGGAAAGCCAACCGTTGCGGGAACGTGCACACTTAAGTATCAAGATAGTATGTTTTGATGGTGAGGGATCCCATGAAACTGGAGACAGAGAATATTACACAACTATTTGATGTAGGAGCACATGAGAAAGCTAGTGCATGAGTATAAGTAGTCCATATATCAGGCCAAGGTAGTCCGATGCGTTCATGTGTAAACGGATTGAAAAAGAAGATCTCGTTGAGATTTCTACTGTGCACAAGGAACCAGCCGTCTCTAGAACAATAAATGTATGAACCGCGTAACTCAGGGGGTGTAGGCTTACAAATATGTGTCTTATCAAGTGATGGATCGTATAGCTCGTATTCATCTTTGTCGAAAGGGAAGCTTATAAGCCATGGTGTCGGGTACTCGTCAACACGAGCGGAAACACAAGCTTGTTGCCATGTTTTGCAAACAGCACAAGCACGAATGTTGTCTTTGAACGATAGGCGTTGCATTATTAGTAAGGTGATATCAAAGGGAAGGTTTGAATAATCTTGGTTGTTGCTTGCCTTGGCCTCTGTAATTTTCTTCTTCTTCCTTTGACAAATTTTGTTTTTCTTCTTCTTCATCATGGCTCTTTTATAAACCGTCATCCTGCTTCGTTGTTCAACGTGTTTAGGTTTTGGAGAGAGAGGGTTAGGGTTTTCTAAGAATTGGAAATCGACGAATTGAAGTAACTTGAGAGGATGGGTAGAAACTCTATAAATTAATAATGTTGGGATTTTGATATTTTATTAATATATAGAGTTATTAATTTATAGATTTCAAAGAAAAAAATAATTTTTATTTTTTATTAATTTTAAAAGAGATTGTATAATTTTAAAAAAGTTTTTTCTAAAATTTAAGATGAGTTCTAAGAAGATTTTAGTTTACAATAAATAAAAAATATCATTATATTCGTATTTTAATATATTATCTCATATATATATATTAATATCAGATTTTGTATGGTAATTATTAATTTATGATATTAATGGGACCATATATTTACATAGAAGTTTTGTTAAAATTATTATCTTATTATCTTATCGAATTATGTCATATTTTGAACTAACCCAATTCGGAATTATGAAAAATTATTAATTTATAGTGTTTATTAATTTATCGAATATTAATTTATAGAATTTCTACTGTATCATATATATATATATATAATGAACTTCCTTTGTCGGTTCAAAAAAAAAGAATTAACGGATATTTCTTTACTTTTTTTGCAGTTGCTCAGACCCAAAAGACTTGAATTTTATCTTTTCGGGATTCAAGAGAGAAGAGCTCAGATAAAATAGATAGAAGTATTCAAACTCTTAACTATAAATTAGAATTTGATAGTATGTTTTTTACTTTTTTTATTATTATAGCTATTTTCAGAAGACAACTTATAACCCTACAAAATATCCTAAATCTAATCAATTCAATTCCCAGTTATGATGCTTTTGATGCAGAGCAATTAAATAACCCTACTTCTTCAAGCAACACAGGGTTCTTTTTTTTTGTGTTACAAAGAACTTCACAAGAAACAGAGGAATAGGCAAAAGCAGAGGATCTAGGTTAATAATTGATGATTAATGAGATCTTGTGAATAAAAATAATTGCGAATCTTGTGATTAATGGGATCTAGTCATCTAGGTTAATGGCTGATCTGGAAATAAACACACAAAAACTAAAATAAGAACTATGACTTGCCTAAGATTTTGATGATAGTCTAACAATATCAATATTATAAATCATCAATATTGTATGGACGAGGACGTCTACGAAATTACAAAATAAAAACAAATATTTTATATCTTATATTTTATAATGATGCGTAGATTTACAATTTCTACTACTAAGACAAGTACGAACTATGTTTTATTTTTACAGTGTAGTTAGATATTAATTTAGCCAAACTTGAGATCATCAAGACCCTTCAAAGAGAGGGGTATACTAAAAAAAAAACAAGACAGCTTGTATTATATACCAAAAATCTAAGAAAACTAAAAACGAATAACAACTAATAACTAAGAACTATGTGAACAAATCTGAGACGTTTAAGGGTGGGTTTATCCAGACATCATAGCTGTTGACCTGTTGTTCTATATTAGATATTAAATCAGTTAATAATAAATTTGAGTAGTCTTGTCATACGTTTATCCTTCATTATCTTTTATCTAAAACTCCTCTTCAGCATGCTCCATACGACTTATTATATTTTTCTAAATCCTTCTTAAAGTCACGTAGACACTATTGTTTTTTTTTTGTAAAGGTAATTTTCCAACATATGAAGTACTATAATAATGATATACAAAACTGATTTCACTAGTATACATTTTTGCATGAATCCTTTGCTGATCAATTTCTTATATATACAGGAGCCTCATTTTCTTATCTCATGCAAAAGATAAATGCATTGTAACCCAGTATTGTAGCAATTTTCATAATATGCACAAATTTTGCATAATATTCAAAATCTCATGTTAGTACACAAAAAACAAATATAATATAATTGTAATCAAGTGTATGCCCATATTCATGGATTTACTTATTTTTCGATTGAATTGACTTCAGTAAAATGAATATCATCAATTTTGATTTGTTGAAGCATCGCTAAGTATTCGGCCTCCCTTGATGTTGATAGGCCCAATCCATCCCAATTTATCCGTGAAAAAAATTCTGATCCTCAGTCATATCATAGTTGATGGGTGTATATCTTTAGGTTTTATATAGTTTTCAAAATATATTATTACACAATTTTCTTTTTCATCCTACGTTTTCCAAAACTAAAGTATTTTTTCAACCTTATAAGAAAATGGTGATTTAAAAAATATAATTTTATGATGTCATTTTTCAAAAATACAACTACTTGATGTCATTTTTATAAATGTTTGTAAAGACTCATTATATAATGGTTTATAAATCATATTTTATAAAATTTTATAAAATATGTTATAAACCTTATGAGATCTTACAATACTCTTATAAAACTTCATAAAATGTGTTTGTAAACAAAGTTTTATAAGGTTTTATAAGAGTATTGTAAGATCTTAATAAATGTAATATTTATGTAAATGCATAAAAAATGAGCTTCAATGAACTTTCAACTTTAAGTAAAAACAAACAACACAATATAATTAGTCATATTTTAGTATATTATCTTACTTATATATATACATAATATTAATTTATATTTTTGTTTGGACCATATATTAACATAGAGATTTCAAAAAAATTACTATCTTATCAAATTTAATAGATAAAAGAAGTTGATTATTTTGGTGGTGGTTCTTTATTTATTGAGTATATATTAACTAATATATGTAATATAGAAATAATTACATCTTTACGTGGATTAGTGACATCATGCATCACTCAAAAATAGCTTGGAAGCAAGCCCCTCTCATCAACTTGAGTATGCTTCTCATACATTTATCCTTCATTGTCTTTCATCTAAAACTCTTCTTAATCATGCTCGACTTACTGTTCTAACTTCTCTTAATGTTACGTAGACACCATTTTTTTTTTAATTTTCCAACATATGGAGTATTGGAGTAATAATGATACTCAAAACTGATTTCACTATAAACTTTTTCGCATGAATCTTTTGGTGATCAGTTTTTTGCAGGTGCCTCATTTTCTTCACTAGCTCATGCAAAAGATAAATGTGTTGGAAGCCAGTATTGTAGAAATTTCATGATATGCCAAATTTTGGCATAATATTTAACATCTCGTGTTACTAACCCAAGAAAACAAACAATCGTAGTCAAGCACTATTGTAGTGCCCATATTTGTAAATTTCAGATCATCAAATATTATTCCTAAAGGCAAATAAAATATAAAGATTAAGAGCCAAATATCACAGAACATAGTCAGTTCTTAAAACTTAGCATGTGAGACAGTGAAACCATCATCACGTCATATATGAGGAATCGAAAGAAAAGCATCTTCTATCGAACAAGCATTGATCAAGCCCTACACCTAACAAAAGATACATATTCCATAACCTAATCGAAGCTTTTGAAACAAAATATAGTTGTATCAAAAGCCTTAGACAAAACAGAAGATAACTCACTGTACTTTCCGTTTAACGAATTTTCTTCTTTTGAATGTCTCACATTTGGATTATCTCACATTCTTTAAGAGCTGCATGGATGTGTAGAACGACCTTTCAACCAGAAAATAGAGTATTGTGGTTCTCCCTTAAAGAATTATACTACGACAAAGGATTGGGTTACAACAGGACAAAACTTCCTGCAACAAAGAAAAAGTCATGTAACAACAATTAGCAATGCAAATTATTATAGTATAATCTGTGTAATGAACCAACACTGGATTATATGAAGCTTGAAAGGATGACATCATCTTCAAGGCCACTTATATCACTTGTCCAGTGAATAATCAAATAATCGTTTTGATAATATTTAACGCTATTGAAATAAACGGTCAGATTATCGCGCGGTATTTTTTTATAAACTTTCTCCTTAATTATTACAATATAGAGAAAAAATTTCAAAAGGTGCTTATCCATGAAAGTCATTAGCAAAATAATAAGATGGAAATAACAGGAATATAATATGATATGAGAATAAAAAGACATTTCAAAATTACCTGATCTGGCAAATAATCAAGCAATCACCCTCCTGAATGTTGCCAGATGCGACCATACCCATAACAACAGTTTCCATGTCCTTGAACTGTTGAAAAATAAGCATCCTAAAGGTCATAAAATCAATTTGGGTTTAACACAGATAAGTTTACAGATCGTAAATTCTCCTTCTTTATCAAGATAAGGGGAACAAAACTTCATTAGATATTTCCTACTCAATTGGATAAAGCATATTCCAAGGCTGGAGAAGTTGCATATGATCCAGAGACAATGCATAGAGATGTTATTGTACAAAGTGATGGATTTCATGAATGCATCAACTAGTATCTAATAAGAAAGAACAAACCAGAATGAAAAAAGTGACAGTTGCAGTTCACCTGAATGGACCATAGGATCCCCTAGCAAAATAACTCTGAGCGAATCACAAACTTAATACAAACTATAAATAATGTTATAATCCAAACGAATTTGCTCATAAAATTACCAAAACAAACTTAATATTATGTCATAGATTAAAATTACAAGCCCGCTAAACCGCAGATTACAAGCGGGTTGGGTTTGGACAAGGGATTTTGGGACTGGCAGCCTGCAATGGGCCAGCTCGTCAAACCTGCAAAACACTAAAACCGCAATGTGTCGGATTACTTGGACGCGGACTAACCCATCTGACATCTCTATATTATGATTATTAATCTTAACAATTGCAATAGAATAATTGTTAATTGTATACTGGATTATCAATGTAAAAATATTCATGTTTTTTAGTACAAAATTTACAAAAATTATGGCTATTATCTTTATTGTTGATGATGAAATTGAAGACAATACTACATTACATTAAAAACAATATGTAAGAAAAAATCAATTATTACATCTAAAATTTTGTACAAATTTTGTATGCAGATATAAATAATAACATTAAAAGCTATTTATGTAAATAAATAAAGAGATGAGCTTTTCAATGAAATTTCAATTTTAAGTAAGACCAAAAAACATATTAATCATATTTTAGTATATTATATTATTTATATATACATAAATTTATATAATTATTCACTTATAGTTTTGATAGGTCCATATACTAACATAGAGATTATAAAAAGGTTATTGTCTTATCAAATTTTATGGACAAAAAAATTTATTATTTTGTCATGGTTATTAATTTCTTAAGTATTAATTTATAAAGGTTTTTTTAAAGATTAGTTTTGGCTTTTTCGTTACTGAAAACGTAGGGACCTTGGAGGTTGTGGATCTATTTCATGTTGGGAGGGTCTGATCTCCAAAGTAAAGTTAAATTACATGTTTTGAGTTTCGTTTTGAAGGGATATACAGACCTTCAGGTCTAGAACTTCCTAGTCATAATATAAAAAAAAATTATTGAACAATGCAATTCATAATTAATAAATTAGAAAAAAACATTTAATTAATCGTCATCAGTGGACACATTTGCTAAGTTTTTGTTAGAGAGATTTCCTAACCTTTAAAACCAAATTAATAGATTTTTTCCCATGATCTCAATGAATTTATTATAGAAATCTATCTTATTGGGGCACATGTCATTATCTTATCTTTAAAATTTGATTATAAACAAAAATTAGATATTAGAAGAAATAAAGAAAGTAAAATACTAAGGGCAGTGTTAAAAACATATATATTTCAATAATATTGTTACACAGTTGTGTTTAATCAGCTATCAAAGATATAATGATTTGATAAGTTGGACGAGAACACAGTTGTTTTGAAAGGTATATAATGCAGATGTCTTGATTTAGCCATATTGTGGATGTTGTCACCTGTTCGAGTACCAGTTCAACGTAATTTGACATAACGTCATTTCCGTAAGCAATTCTAATATACTTTCCAAACACAAATTTGCTTATTGTTTGATTTGTACAATCAAAGTAGATAAAATTTGCATTGAGTAACACAAATGAGGGATATATCATCTAGTCCCCAATTATTAGGAGAATAACAAATGACAAGGACGAGATTATAAGTTATTCAACCAATTTGTGAGGTCATTATCAACAACCTAAATAGTTAGGTAAAAAAAAAAATACAAAGACAAATTGTATAACATATACCAAGAATCCAAGAAAACTATAAAAACGAATAAGAAGTAATTAAGAACTTTCATCCCTAAGATTTGAACAAATCTGAGACGTTTAGGGGCGGTTTAACCCAGACATAACTGCAAATACAACGTTGATGCATTTGCTGGTTATACAATAAGTCCCTATTCGCTGTCAAAGAAGACTTGGAGCTCAAGTAAAACGCCAAACCTCCCAACCTTATCTTATCCGTCCATTTCTGGTTTGCAAGATCTAGTTTAAGATATCTCGGTTGATCATCAAGGTCATGCGTGTTCGTATATATAAGGAAGATATCTCCTTGATACTCTGTCATGAAGCGATCGTTTGGGCTAACACATTTAGGAGCCCGTCGAGAAAGAACATTCCAAGAAGTCGTAGATAGATCAAACATTCCTAGCCAACCTATGCTGGCAAGACAGTAGAAGACACCATTGGAGAAAACAACATGTTCGAATCCTCCGTCTTTAAGAGGCAACCGATGCGGGAACATAAACGCAGTGCACTCTTTAGTATCAAGACAATATGTTTTGATGATAACGGATCTCTTGGTGACATGGAAGACCGAGAATATTACACAACCATTCGATGTAGGAGCAGATGAGAAGGCTAATGCCTGAGTGTTCCACATATCAGGCCAAGGCAGTCCAATGCGTTCATGTGTAAACGGATTGAAAAAGAAGGTCTCGATGAAATTGTTATCGTGCATAAGTAACCAACCGTCTGTAGAACATTCAATGAATGGATCGCGTAAATCAGGGGATGTTGACTTACGAATATATGTTTTATCAAGTAATGGATCGTATAGCTCGTATTCTTCTTTGTCTAAAGTGTAGCTTATAAGCCATGGTGTCGGGTACTCATCAACACGAACGGAAACACAAGCTTCTCGCCATGTTTTGCAAACAGCACATGCACGAATGTTGTCTTTAAACGACAGGCGTTGCATTATTAGTAAGGTGATATCAAAGGGAGGGTTTGAATAATCTGGTTATTTGCCTTTGCCTCTGAAATTTTCTGCTTCTTCATCATGGATCTTGTATAAACCATCTCTCTTCGTAGTTGAGCGTGATTAGGTTTTGGATAGATAGAGAGAGAGAGGGTTAGGATTTTCTCAACATGTGAAATCAAGGAAGATAGTAACGTGAGATTGTGAGCCGGCCCTGAGGCCAAGCAGTACAAGCATGGGCTTGCGGGCCTATTTTTTTAGTGAAAATTCCTCAGACTAACCTTTAAGGTTAATGTATTGACAAACTTAGCCTAACATATTCATCAGCTTACTAGACTAACCTTAGAAAGTTGGTGTTATACCATTTTGTCCAAATAATGAATATTATTACCAGATTGCCATTCTATTTTAAAAAACCTTAAAATAAAACATTTTACAAACAAAAAAAATCATAATCGTTCACTTTTAATTACTTATAATCGAAAATCGAAAATACAAAAACATAAAAATAGAAACTGAAACCCTAATCTCCTCCGGCGGCGACTGTAAAGGCGATTTGGCGACGAAGGAGACGATTTCGGCGGCGACGAAAGCTTTTCGGCCACTCATCTCGTAAGTCTTGACGTCTGGGTTAGTTTCTCGTCGCGAACAAGCTTTGACTTCGGTTTTCGCGACGGTTGTGTTTGGGTTTTACTCGCGACGGTTGTGTTTGGGTTTCAATGGTGGTTTCGCGCTAACGTCGGAAGAGAACTCCATCTTTTCGTTCGTAGTCGAAAACCCTTTACCCAGAAATCGTAACCCTTTGCTTTTTTTTTTCAGGGAAGTATTATCGGCGGGTTCCGTCTTTCGAGAACGGTTTATACTGAGCCCAGACGATTTCCGGCGAGCAATTTCTGTTTGTAGTGGTTCGGTTTTAATTTCTTTTTGGTAGACTTTCAGCAGTTGGTTGCAGTTGTTCGATTTGTATATGCTTAACGGTAGATTTATTCGTGTTTAACGGAGTTCTTTTCTATGTGAGGTAGATTTGTTTTCGTTTCATTGTGTGGTAATATTGTTGGTAGAGTTAATGTTGATATTGTATTGGTAGATTTATGTATTGTTGGTTTATTTATATCATGTGTGGTAGACTTGTGGGCGTATGTGGTAGAGTTATATACTGTAGTTGCTCCCGGGTTTGGTAGATTTTATTATAGTTGCTTTCTTGTTTGGTAGACATGATAAGTTTGGTAGACTTACGAATTCTATATTTGCGTTCTCTCTTTGTGTGTGGTAGATTTATGTATTCATTTGGTAGATTTGCGTTGTATATTTTCTTTTCTTTGGTAGATTTGTGTTCGTTTTGGTAGATTTGTTAATGTTTTGTGGTAGGTATTCTATAGTTGTTGTTGAGTTTGGTAGACATGTGTAAGTTCATGGTAGATTTGTTTTGATGTGTGGTAGATTTGTAAGATTTTAATCTTACCTATTGTTTGCAGACATGGCTTCAGCTAGCGGCTCAAAGGATTATCCCCAAAGATTGTACCCGGAAGGCAAATCTCCTTTGCTGAAGAAGAGTTGTCATCATAACTGCAAGCTTCATGAGTTCATCATGATGATCAGGGATCACCTTGGGGATGATATTTACAACGACATCATGAATAATTCTCAAGTTGGCGTGCTACTGAAGCTTGCATTGTCTTCGTTCATATGGAGTGCTAAGACGGTTCAGTATTTTGTGAGCAACCAACTGAAGGTGGATAGGAATCATGAGTTTTGGACTCTTATTGGAGGTCGCCCGGTTAGATTTTCACTCTTAGAGTATGCTGAAATCACGGGGCTAAACTGTGACCCAATTGATCCCAATGACAAGGTGGAAATAGATCACACCGAATTTTGGGCCGAGATTGGAGTGAGAGGTGGGGAAGGCCCCAATTGGAATGAGTTAGAAGCTCGGATGAAAACTTGCCAAGCATGGACTTATGAGAAGAAGAAGATGTTGGCGTTGCTTTTCATTTTGCATGTTGGCGTATTGGGACTTCACCGCAACAGTCGAATCCCGTTGGCTTTAGCCAAAACAGTTATGGATGAAGCAGCTTTCGAGAGACAGCCGTGGGGTCGTTATGGATTCCATGAACTAATTTATTCCCTCAAGATTGCTAACTTGGGGGGAGCACGATACACTCTCCACGGATGTGTACAGGCAATGCTTGTTTGGGGTTATGAGTGCATCCCTATATTGGCTGAGAGAGCAGGGAAAATACGCCCCGATGTAGATGACTCGGTTGTCCTCTT